CTACGCCTATTCAGAGTGAGTCGAAGCTTTGGTTCGTCATTCTCACATGCGACTCTAGGGCGAATCAGACTAAAGTAGAGCACATTCATCGGCAAACGTGCAGACTCTATAGTCGCTGAATCAAGAGGCACAAGTTGCCGAAAGGACAGGAAAAAGTACCGTCTCAGACCGTCGGTACACTTTAGGCCTCGCAAGCATTCATCAAATAAGGGCTCGGATGGAAAGAAAATATGCGTAAAATTGAATATCGTCCCTAAGACGCCAAATTCTCCTCGGCCTACCCACATTGTGAATTATTTAGGATGGGGAGATGGCCCAGCTGTTCGTCTTCCTCATCTTGCTCCTCGCTACTGTCAATGTTCGGCTTTGCACGGGGAGGCGTTGAGGCAATTGCATCAACCATGTTGGGCGGCGTCGAAGGCCTTTCATTTGAGTCGTTGCTGAAGCATGAAAGGAAAAGAGGAGATGGATAAAAAGAAAACCGACGATAAAATAGAAGTTTAGCATATAAGCAAATTGTAATACGCTGTCAATGACGGTTTTTTATCATCTTTCCTATAGTATAAAAGACAGTTTTTCCAAAAAGTGGGTAAACTAAACCCTAATAAATCATTACAATATAATACCTTACATACAATTTGGCATGTATCATGTGAATGAGTTTTTTCCGAGGACTATGACTCGATGTAATAGCAGTAGTATTAGTAGCAGCCAAACTCTGAACAGACTTAAAGTTTCGCAGTGCAGATATGCAAAAAGAGAAAATGATTAAAAGTGAAAAATGGACAGTTTAACATCAGAATTTCGACGACCGAAGGCATTATTGTTTCTATGTTCTAGAATGTGAATGCCAACACCAAGTTGTCATAGAGCCTTTAGATAAGGATGATTAAAAACCGACTAGAAGCGAACAGCCTCAGGTGTACTTTGTTTTCTTTAGCACACCCTAAGAGTCCAGTGGCCTCACAATTGTGCTCGAACTTAGTTTGCTCATTCTCTTGCTCCCAATAAATGGTACCCTCTTCCGACCTTCATACATCCGTTCTCGATCAGTGATCTGCATACACCCCAAGCGCTGAAATAGTCTGCGTTTAAGTGAAGAAGAGATTTACTGAGCGGTATGAAGCAATTCTTTGGGCCATTCCGATTTTCCACCTCTCCGAGGATCTGGTGGGCGGTAACTTAAGAAGGCTGATGATGCTGGCGATCAGTTTGTTTGCGGGTCCGTGGAGAGTCAAGGTGTAGGAAACCCACAAATTACGGTTTCCTACTGACTTACTTTTTACGTATGCATGCTCTAGACAGGGTGGAATTAATAAGATCCCTGACAAACGAGAAGTCTGCATCTTGCAGACGTTAATCATAGGGACCAAATGACATGATTAAAGCCATTCGGCAATTACTCGACAAGTAGGATGAAGGAAAATATCTATTCAGACAGACAGCTCTCAAAAAAGACAAGCGAATCACAAAGTAATAATGTACAAAGAAAAAAATGACACTTTCCTGGGTTATGCTTCCTTTTCAGAAATTGTCAGATCATCTCTCAAGATCAGGTCAAGTCATTTCAAAGAAAAAGTTAAAAGGAATTTGTAAATCGGCCTTTTCGAAAACCGAAGCAGGGGATAACGTTGAATTGTGCGAATAAGTCCCCGGCTCACCGCGCTGTAGCTCTGATGAACTCGGTGACACTCTTCTCTTTTCATTCTCTCCGAGTTCAGCTTCATCCAAAGCGCGTGTAGCTGCTACGTATCTCATGTCTGCATTTAGACTTCCTATATCGACTAAAAGACCATTCTAGTAATGGAGAGAAAACCATAATCCCTCTAAAACAAAATAATCAGCTTACTTATACGCTATTGAATCCTCACTAAACGACTGTAGTCATCGCATAAACTGATTCTGCTGGTCAACTTCAAGAGCGCCAGGATCAGCCACCGGTCGCCTGGTGCTACAAGGACAAGTGGTAGATCAGGTTGGGACTTAGTGATTATTCGCATAATGCTTTGTCCAAAGTAGGTATTTGTGCTCA